GCTCTCCCTACCTCCATGATGGTGAAGGGCCGGATCTTGTCCAGATGCTGGGTGAGGTCCGGGCGCAGCTGGCGGGTCGCGGCCTCGGCCAGGGACAGGCGCTGGGGATGCGGCTCCCGGAGGAGTTGGCACGGCGTCTGCCCGAAGTTGTTGATCATGCCCTCCATGGCCTCCCGCTCCACGGCGCTTTTCAGCGCGTCTAGGTCGACAGCACCCTCGTAACTGCAAGAAAAGTAAATGCCAAATACAGGCGATCAGCTGATGTGCGTTGTACCAAAGGAAACTGGAAGAGATGTCTCTTTGCACCACCATCTGTATAATATGGCTGACCAGTAGTGGGGAAGTAAGAAAGAAACACAGATTTGATTTGTGGAGGGCGGAGAGGGGGCCAAAGAGGGAGGGAAGGGGGAGGGGGGGCCATGCTGATATCTGATTCTCACCTGCAATAGTAGAAGACGTTCAAAGCTTCCACGGCTTTTGGCCCCTTTTGTTTGTAGCCAAATATCAGATCTATCCATTCGTGTATGTGAGCTGAGACATACTCGCATTCCTACGGAGAAACAAAATAAAGAAAACAATTAGTGATATTTAAGTCCCGCGATCCAATAGTAATGTCAGGGCCATATGTCGCACTAGAAAGGTACTTTTTACATGTCTTTCAACTGATAACACGCATTTTCGATGTTATATATGTTAAAGCCACCTTTTCTAACAAAAGTAGTACACATGAGGCTTTACGGGGTTCACTGCCTCACATATACTTACAACCTTTAGTTAGAACCAACCCCAGGAATGCTCAGTACGCTGCCCACTCACCAGCGCCCTGCGGTGCTTGAAGATGAAGTCCTCAGGGCTGCTGGCCCACGCCGGCAGCACCACGTCCGTGACGCGCTCCTTGGTGCCCTGCAGCAGGCCCAGGTCGAAGCCATTGAGGTTCTTGAGGAACTCGGGGAAGAAGAAGAACTCGGGCGTCAGCTCCTTGACGTCGTTTGGGTTGTCCATCAGCAGCTTCCACGTCTGCGGGATGGAGTGGAACTGGCGGTCGGCCACGTCGAACCTGCCACTCTGCAGCTCGACGTGCAGCGACGTGAAGGGCTCGACGCGCACCAGGTAGTGTAGCACGCCCGCGCTGTTGGAGTAGTGCGTGCCGTAGTGGAACTTTGCGATCACGCCGGAGGGGTCCTCGAAGTTGTCGTACTTCGCCTTGACCTCGGCCACGTTCTTAGGGTTCACCACGCCGATGGGCTTGGAGAGGTCGCGGAAGGTGGCCGGGTTCTCCAGGTCCAGGTCTTTGGATGTGTAGTCAGCGATGATCCAGGGGAACACCGGGTATTGCGAGAGGTCATTGTACGACCGCCCGGCGATGGTGTTGAGCTGGAGCGGAAATGGGGTAAGAATTACTTGGGAGTGATACTCGACGCGTCCTAAGAACAAAGTCTGATCTGTTTGCGCGCCCGTCAACAAAGTCCGATCTTTTCGCGCGCCCGTCAACAAAGTCCGATCTCTTCGCGCGCCCGTCAACAAAGTCCGATCTGCTTTTGGCCGCGCTCTGCATCGCTGGTTTAGTTTATTTCTATCTTCACTAATATTGACAGTATAGAAAAAGTAATGAATGCTATGTGATCCTAACAGATTGAAGGATAGCTAAGACCGAAAATGTTAAGCAAAGATACAGAAACAGAATTGTCAAAAAGCTCCAAACGTCCGCCTCCCGAGCGCGGCCAAAAACAGATCGGACTTTGTTGACGGGCGCGCGAACAGATCGGACTTTGTTGACGGGCGCGCGAAAAGATCGGACTTTGTTGACGGGCGCGCAAACAGATCAGACTTTGTTCTTAGGACGCGTCGTACTTCTTTTCCAAGGTAAAAAGTAAGTTAGAATGTAAAATACAAACCTGCATGAGGTAATCAAAATTTGATATTTCTCGATTTACCCACTTTTGGGTGAGGCCGGAAGCTCGTAACAGTTCGGCCGGAGACCGACTGCTCGAGATCAGCAAATTGGGAGGCCTCAGGCCCAATATTCTTGAATACACCTTGTTGCGAGTCTGTTGAGAGAACAAAAAGGGGCTATGACGAAAGTTTAATTTACACGTTAAGTGGAAAATAAGCGAGAAATTCGTTGCTACCTTTGGAGTGAAATTGACAAAATAATTGGTCTGGTCCATCAAAAAGAACTCCAGCGCGCTGCGCCTCAGGTTGTATCTTCTTAGGTGAGCTTCCCTTAATCTTGAGAGTGGCCACTGTGAAAATCACCAGATTGTAATA